ACGTCAATTAATTAAACTGGGAACGAAATAAAAATAAACTGAAAATAATGAAGGGGTAATCATACCAATCCTGTAAACTAGATAAAGATGACAACAAGTATAAAAAATTGAACGAGACGAGCGAAAGATGGGACCTCCATGTCAATGTAAGAATTCGCAAAAATTTCTAAAACTTTTTTGCAATATTTTTGAAGACGACGACAGAAAAAATATTTATAATATGTTTTGGAAAAACTTGGACTGGAATCAGAAGAAAATTTATGTTACCAGCCTTGTAGATAAAGAACCGGTAAAGTATCATCGAACAGGTATTTATAAAAATTTGTTTCCGTAAATCGCATTTTACAAACCTTCATTACATTTCAGTTACTCCAGAAAAGCAACGAAGTACTTCGTATATTTTTTCCTTAAGAAAACTTATTCTCGAAAACGGGTATGCAAGAAAATATTTCTGCAAACATTAGGTATAGGCGAATGGAGTATGCAAAATTGGATTGGTCAAGGAGAACAAAACATTGCAGTTCAAACTAAAAACAGTTCAAGAAAAGGCAAGATATCCGAAGATCCTTAGAGACAATTCCAAAAATCGAGAGCCACCACTGTAGAAAAGACACTTATAAATTGTATTTAGATACAAAGTGGACCAGCGTTAATGAACTATACAAATTTTATACCAATGAATGTGTGGGTGCAAAGATAGCCAAACTGAATAATACAACTTTTTGTCAGGAGCTGGATAGGCAACGTATAGCCTTATTTAAGCCAAAGGAAGTTAAGCATACAGAACAATAGAAAACGTTTTTGTTTTGTTACAAGAATTTTTATTTTTTAGGAAAGATCAGTGCGACACTTGCACTGGGCATTCTGTCGGCATAAAAATTGATGAACAGTTTCAGCAGCATTGGTAGAAATAAAAAATTTAGCTCGCGCTGAAAAGGAAAAACTAAAATAAGAAGCTAGTAACGAGACCAGTAAATTTGTTTTGACTATGGTTCAGTGGCAATATTAACAGCACCAAGATTACAAGTATCAGCTGCATATTATAAAATGAAGCTAAATATTCACAACTATAGCTTCTATAATTTGTCCACTGGCAAAGGCCATTGCTATGTATGGCTTAAGCGTTTAAGTGGGTTGAAGCAAACGAGTTTACTTCCATTATCATAGATTATATTAAAAGAAATTTATCTCCGGCTACTAAATCCGTTGTTTGCTTCAGCGACAGATGCTGCGATAAAACTCGAAACGTTATGCTTTCAAATGCTCTTTCTTACTTATCAAGAACATCAGGTGTTGCAATATTTCAATATTATCTAGAAAAGGGTCATACTCAAATGGAGTGTGACTCGATTCACGCGTGTATTGAGCGTAAACTTAACAATCGTGTCGTGTATGTACCGGGATGTTATGTTGGCATTTGTAGGTCTGCTAAGGCAAAAGATTCTTATGAAGTTGACTACTTAAATTATTCCTTTTTTAAAGATTACTTGGTAATCAAAACATTTTCTTTAATTCGTTCTGGCAATACTAAGGGAGATCCTAAAGTAACTGATCTCAGAGCACTGGCATACCGTTGTGATGGTGCGATTGAACGCTCCTCTAAAAATTAAGCCTGAGAAATTTAAACACCTTCAAGAATTAAGAAACTATATTTCAGAAGATTTTACGCTATTCTACGACAACTTATCCCACTAACTCAAACTATTTTTATTTTTTTTTGTATTTCTGTCGAATAAAGTTTTTAGTTTTGTTCGTATTGTTTCATTAATATTTTTTATTCATCTAATTAAACAAAATATTGTATTAAAATCCTTAACCAGATAATACTTTTCATGTCAAAACATCGCAAGTTGAAAAATTATTAAAAAAAAATACAACAGAACCTCGTAAGTCAATTTTTTTTTTGAAAAATTAAATCCAATTTAGTGTACTTGCACAGCATTAAAAATAGGTGCAATTATAATGTTTTATATCGCTAACACCAAAACGAGAACGCCTTATAAAAAAAAGTATCAGTTTTTGGTCTCTCCTGTAAAATTTATAAAATTCGACTTAATAGGTTTTACACTTTAGCCATCGATATTCAAACAACAAAAAAATCAATGCAATAATAAAATAGCACAATTTCTTACAGAAACGACTGTCTTGATAAAGACGGACAATTTCTTACATGAACAAAAATCAAACAGTATTTTTTCCGTGTGTGATCAGAGAAATGTCACAGAGAATAATACAACAAAAATACATATATATCAAGAAATGCACATAGAATATATCAATAAATCAGTATCAAAAATAAGGTAAAATAAAAGTCAGATTCTAGATGGGTGACTGCACCGTACCTAGTGTCTTTAAATACGAGGCAAGCTCGAACTGGCCGATGATAGAAAATCCACCTTCTTTTATACAAGAAAATCTTTTGTCTTTTCGGATTATCACGTAGTAAGATGTATTTTCCAAACATCGAACCAATAGGAAATTAAAATTACCGAAAGATTGGAATACCGTGATTTCCAACCAATGGGTAATTTTTCCGTGTTGTTTGGCTGTTGAATGAGAGCGCCCGGCAACAAAACTGTCGGTAACGGGAAAAAGCCTCGTGCCTTGTGGGCGTGAGACCAGGCTCCGTACACGCTCTGTCCGTGTATAGGATAGTATAATTCGGAGTAATCAACAATAAAAGGTAGGTGTATGTACACTGTAGAAAAAGTTATGGCCCAAAAACCACAATGTTTACAGTGGAAATTTCCTAAGTCGCTGAGACCTGTAAAAATCGGCGGGAAACAATAACTTATTTACCAAATATCTCCGATATTCCTAAACGGGAAAATAACATATATTTATTCCTGAAAGAGAGTACAATAAGGAATAGACCTAAATACAGGATAACACAACCCGCAAGAATACCAATGCTAAAAGATTGAAATATTCTGCAAAGTTATAACAGTGTAATTACCTCTATAAAACTCTCATATAAAAATCAGAAATAATTCACTTATTTCTCGCAGTGTACCTGAAAGAGAACTTATATTGGGATTTAGGATTGGTAGGTGCTAAAGTTGTTCTTGCTCTAACACAATCAATGAAATCACCGGCGCTCAGTGTTATCTATGTCGATAATTTCTTTTCAAGTTTTGATTTGTTTTACATCCTTCGCCATGATTATGGAATTTGAGCCCTGAGAACAATGAGAAATGATCGATTAAAAAATTGTGTTTTAGAAGACGATAAGTCTGTGAAGAAAAAAGGAAGAGGGTCGTTTTGTTCAAAAACTGACATTAATAAAATAAATGTTGTGAAATGGTTTGACAACACACCCGTTTTACTTGCCAGTACATATATATCTTCTACACCTGTCCAAACAATTAAAAGGTATGATAAAAGGCAGCGAGCAAAAATTGAAGTCCCTCTCTCATAAAACACTACAATGCTCACATTGGTGGAGGAGATCTGATGGACATGCTGGTAAGCCTTTATAGAATTCCCCTAAAAACTCGTCGCTGGTACCTCTCCACATTTGCACAAATGCTAGATATTTGTATAAACAAAGCATGGATTCAGTATAGAAGGGACAAAAATATTTTACTACACACGTCCAAAGGTTATACTCTCAAATATTTTAGAAAGTGCATAGCAGAGACTCTTAATAACAAAGGGCAGAAAAAATAAGAGAGTGTTTGCCGAGCGAACCGAAGAAATTAAAAAAATTAAAAAGTGCGGTCTGCCAAGACCATCAGAGTAAATACGATTTGATAAAGTTGATCATTTTCCTGTTTATGATAAAAAAGGCAGGTGTAGGTATTGTAAATCAGGAGAGACACACTGGTCATGTTCTCTTAGATTGTGTTTAGTAAAGGATAGAAATTGTTTTTATTCTTTTCATAATAGCACATAAGTAAGTTTTACGACAGTTTTGGTTGTTTTTTACAAGAATGAAAAATTATGTTACTTTATTATATATTACTTTTTGCTTTCTTTTTTTTTTCATTAGTTTAGTACTTTCTGCTTTTATTGTGAGGTTTTACCTACAATCTTCGACTTTGTTTCTTATAAGATACATAATAAAATTTTACAATAAATTTGGATATTTGACTATGTATCTTGTGGGATACACTCCATATCTCCCTTGTTTATAAAAAAAATAATATAAAAATGGTCAAAATACCTTGTGATATACCATATCACACTACCTAAACAATTTCACAAAAATTACTGTTATATTAAGGCTTGCCAAATTAAGGGTTAAAAAGGTGTAGGACAGGAAATGTTTTAATACGAGGTGAACTTCACTACAAAAATGATTTCGGAACTTTTGTCAGTATTACACGTAAAGGCAAACAGATTAGCATGATCAATCCAGAAAAACTTATCCCCGATGCTCCCAAAGTAAATAATTTAAAACTGCGTGATGTGCGAAATCTTTTGACCAAACATTTTGATTTAGACTGGACCCAACTCGATCAGCTTAATTATTATAAAAAGCTTTTTCAATGTTATAAACAAGAAGCAAACGAGAACCTGGAGAATCCTGTTCAAGTGTCGAAACATGTGAATATATACCTGAACTTCCGGATATTTTAGTTTAAGTAGTTATATGCATTTCTTTTGCATACGCATTGCTTTTACGTATATTATTTTTCTATATCAAAATATATTTTTCATATATATATATATATATATATATATATATATATATATATATATATATATATATATATATATATATATATATATATATATATATATATATATATAAAGTAAGTAACTGGCACAATGATGTTTTATTAGTTTCAAAACTGGCAATATCCTTATAGATCATTTTTAAATCCGTGAATCTCCAAACATTGCAAACAAAAATGGCAATCTCCAAACTAAAATATAAAAAAAAGGAGACGAAATAATTTCTTAAGCACCTCTTTCTGTACATCCGATCACAAAACAAATTTTATATGATCCATCATCAGTTTTATTCTAATTTAATTTTCTAAGATTGTACAGTT